GTTATTAATGCGGCAGTGTGCGGACGCGCGCCGCGTTACGGCGTTGAATTTCAACCCTTAAGCGCGCCCAGTATCCTCCTCATGAAATTTTCATGAAATTCAGGCTATATTACGGCAAAAGTTACTCCGCACGATGTATCGAGCATTAATATCGGGGCGTGAAAATAAATGAGATTACGCTTTTCCACGTGGTGTGTGGCCTTTGCTATTTGATATATTTGATATATTTGAATAATTATTAGGATATCGAGTGCCCGGTGAGGGAGGGAGGAAAGAGAGAAAAAGAAGCTTCGCGGCGTTACTTAATCCATCGTTCTCCAGCATAATGAGAAACACTCGTGTCAGTTTTTGTGTATTTTTTTTTTTTTTTATGCGACGACAGTTACAACGGACACCTTTCCTGGAAAATATACAAATATACATATATTGAAGAGAACGAGATAAATCTATAATTTGTAAGCTTTATTTCAATACGGTTTGATATTTAAAAGTCATCTCACAAATTATGGTCCTTCGCTTTGAGTTTCTATTAGTTTCAAGTATTGCCAACGGAATATAAATAAGCTACGTTGGTATGTTCTTTGTAAACGTTGTAAACAAGTTTTATATCGGCTAACGAGCATTGCATCCTTTTCGCTCTTGACGCCATATAATAATTATTCGGTATTATATGTAAACCCTTATCAATGCTAATTGGCAAGCGTTTCACGTTAACGTATCGCGATATGTTATGCAACATACGCACGTGCGTGTACGTAGCTTTGACGTCTGTCCGTCACGCGAAAATCGGATTACGACGATGTTTCATATATACGGTGTACAATCTCCTCTGAATTCTCTAAATTTTTTGGTCGTCTCTCTCTCTCTCTCTCTCTCTCTCTCTCTCTCTCTCTCTCTCTCTCTTTCCTACCTATTTTGGATTGACTAGTACAACGCTTTAATTTTCAATATGGAACGTTTCGATAATCGGACTTTAAATCGACTTTCCGTCGAAGTCAAGTCTAAACGAGACGCTTAATTTGCCAAAATCAATAAAGTTTCAACATCAAATATTAATACATTTTGAATGTTACATGCAGTTAATTCTGCAGTTAAGTCTCTCATCAAAATTTTAGCTTAAGACTTTATCGATTATGTATTCCGAAAATTGTCGACTATAGAAAAGCGTGCATTTTCTGACTATGCTATAGTCGCATAATGCCAATTATTATGCACAATATAATTTCAATAATTTTTAAAACTTTTCTTACATAATGTCAACGTGTAAACCCGAAAATATGTATTCTTTGTTTTGAATATTTAAATATTAGCAATATTTTACAGCTTAACTGCTATGTACACTTGGTTTCTTATTATTATTATTATCTGCTCAGTTTAAAATTTTTATTCTCTCATTTGATATAGACATCATTTATTCGCTCATTTGCAAAAATAGATCGATTGAATGTTAGTATTTTATGAGCTTTTGCCACGATTCTGTGACGTAATCTCGACACCGAAATCAATATGTTTACATACATCCGTTATATGAACGGAGAAATCAAATTACGCTTCTGAATTCTCGTTTCTCGAGATCCTTTTTTTAGGACAGTCAATCGACAATTAACTGCCCCAATTTAAAGCGAGTGTCGTCGCGAATAACAGACAAAACGCCGATGTCATTTAGTCAAGCTGTTACAGTTCCTTACTTGTATTTTTCTTTTCCTTTTTTTCATTATCTGCTTCGCAGTTTGTTTGCAGTTTGATTTTAACTCCAATTATAATTCCTGAGCGAAATTAACACAGATTGAACTATGCTCTTTATCATGGAAATAAGTCGCGCGTTTAGCAAAGCGACGAGATTTTCTTTACGAGATCTTACGAGATCTTATTGTTATTCACAAAGTTGTATCAAGGTTGCATAATTGCAAAACGGAAGAATTATTCGAGAGAGAATTATTTCGAAAGAATTATTACTTATTACGCTACCATGCTTTTCAACATAAAAGTCATGATCTACTTGTTATTATTGGTAAATAATATTTTATAAATGAAAAAAATATGAAGAATATATATATATATATATATAATAAAAGGAAGATTTATCGTGGAAATATAAAGGATACAAATTTCTCTCTGGATTTGCAATATGTGCTTGTAAAATGGTTTTCTCTGAATTATAACATTTTTGCTTGTAAAACTGTTTTCTCAGAATTAACACTTAACATTTTCGCGAGAACAATTCAATCGTTTTAAACAAAGAGACATAATGTATAACTTGTTCACCTTTTCTCGTCCTTGTCCCCGATGATGTTGAAGTATGGAGTAGGATTTGGAAGATTTGGGATCCCGGATATTTCGGAATCCCGGGTATTCCGCTCCGATTTGCGCATATCGGCCAATCGAGCTTTACGAAGCCGCACATCACGATAAAATATATGCGGCACAGCCGATGTAGGTGGACAGATTTCCAGGGTCACCGCTATCGTCGAGGGGTCTCGTTCTATTGGATTCTAGCCAGGATTATGGTTTCGAAAATGGGCTAAACGGGGATAGAAGATAGCAAGAAAGAAGATGGCGGGGAAAAAATCGCGAGAGGAGCTATCGTAATTTGATAGACGGTGAATAACTCGTTAGCGATGATGGGGTGGAAAGAGGTCAGAAACTGCGGGGGGAGGGGGGAGGAGGAGGACCGGGGATTGGGATTAAATTCCGCTCAGGGCCGACAATGAGGGCCTGGCACGTTTTATCGCGAGGTTTACTTCGCGATTTTTCATGCAACGTCGCGCTAACTATCTAATAATCTCTGCCGCATCACGGAATACAAAAATGGAGATCGACGGCCGGAATTGGGGCAACATGCGAGAGAGATATGTGAATGTGTTTAAAGTTGAAAAGACTTCCTTGCCGAATAAGAGCCGAATGAAGATGTAAAGGTCAAAAATGCGCGACACGTGTTAAGAATTCTGAAAGGAACGCACGAGAAAGAGAAGAATGAGAGAGAGAGAAAGACAAAGAGAGAGAGAGAGAGAGAGAGAGAGAGAGAGAGTGTGTGTGCGCGTGTGTGTGTGTGTGTGTGTGTGTGTGTCTCATTTTTAATACTATGCGCTATAATTTCCAATTTGAAACTACATAAACGTGAATTTCATAATTTATAAAGAGGCGACGTGTATGTGCATAGCGAATGGAAAATTCTCCGCGAAAGCAAGATTATTTTATAATCGCTTGGCAAAATACATATACGGCTAAAAGGATTACAGAAGAAGATCTCGTCACCTCGTCATTTCAGTCTCCCGTCTGCATGCTGCGATCGTTATTGCTCAATATATCCCACGTATTTACCTTACTACGTTATCTCACCGTTACTCCGAGGCTTTACGTCATTAGACGAGGCCATCAACGTTTCACCATCGCGGGGGCGGTCGAAAATCACTGGACCATCATCATGCTCTTCCATTAAATATATATACGCGACACTCTTTTCGTCCTCTTCAGTCGTCGACTTCTCCTCCTTGTCACCGTCGTCGTTTGCGTTTTATCACGACTCTTTTTTACCTGCCTCACCGTTAACGACGCAGCCGAGAGCTTTTGTGTGGTGAACTTTGCACGGCGCACTTTATTTTGTGTGGAATTAAAGTCGCACGAACCCTACGCGTATATCGATTTCCTATTTATAGAATATAATTTAACCAACCTTAATTATTGGCTCGCTACCGAACAGGATTGACCTTTCGGCTAAATATGTATATGATTAGGTGAAATAGTGAAAATAAAATGATTACAGAGGAAACTGCGAATGAAATAGATAGAGGATAGATAAAATACACATTTACGTAAGTTTGTAAAGAGTGCTCTAATGCAACAAAGTTATTATTTTGTCAATTTTCGATTGAATCTGGATAATGTTGACATTTATATATAAAGCTATTTATTCCCTCGTCGGGAGAGAAAAAAAAAGCGTCTTATTATCGATCTCGCAACTGAAATTAGAGTACATTCTTGAAGGATGTAAAATAGGATAGCGATAAAGCGCAGATATATAGTGTAATACAGATGCGAGGATATATAATACAAATGTAGCTGGTAGCGGTATATAAAACTCCGCGGTAATGAAACTCAATATCGATTGATTAATTATAATGACGTTAGTTCTGCATTATTAATAATTCACTTCTAAATTAATACGCAAAGTTTTACGAGGGGACACAGTTTTCACTTTTAGAAAGCTATCCACGCACGTCGTTTACAGAGTTGCATTTAACGCTTCCCTCGCCACGGTGGTGGCGGCGATACGATTAGTCCAACACCCCCCTGCTAATGACGATCGGCGTTGTTCACCGAATAAACCCCGGGGCGCAAAGTCACGCCCCATTTCGCCTCCTCTCGCGCCTTGCTTCCCATTTACAAATCCTTCGGACACCGACGGTACCGCCGTTCTGTTTACGTTACGCCTCCGACTTCTTCGAGGAAAATAGCCGGGATTTATCTATGCGCATAAACTTTTTTACGATCAATATTTGCGTCATTTGATCGGACAAGCCAAAATCATTAGGCTCTTCGCGGAATAACACGGAATAGGAGCGTTTTTGCATAAATCGAAATGAAAAAGAACGAATAATCCGCCATAATTTATAATACCGCCATAAGGACAATTATATCAAAGATGTAAAAATTTCGCAATTAAATTAAAAGAAAACTAAATAAGAGTATCGCCACTTGTGTGCATTCGAAGAGAAATGCAAATGCAATTATTTATTTTTAATTATTATTCTTGAAATTTCGCCCGGGGATTTTTTTTTTAAACTCGGCATCTGATTTTACATACGACGGATTGTGGAAGGCGTGACTGATCGAATACATTGTGTAAGGCACGGCGATCCACGAAAGCTAATGACGAGTCAATGTTTACGGCAGACGGTGGACCGTTAATGCAACTTAAACGAATTTCGCTATAGATTGAGTGCACTAATAAGCTCTCAGAGAGAGCTACCGGTTTACATCCGATCGATCGTCGTCATTTTCCGCTATCGGAAGCGCGCGTTTCTTGTCCTGCCTCGCGAATTCAGCAAATTTCTGCTCTCCGATCCGAGAAATGTCGTCATGCCACGGATGACAGCCTGGGGGTTGTTGCTCGGCCAATAATTCACTTGGATTACCAATTACGACAAAGACTCGGGTCTGCGTGGCGTACTTAATTGATGGGACACAATAACATTATTAGACACTATTCCGAGGTGTCTAAAAGCGGATTTTCGCAATTGTCCATTGAAATAGAAACTATAATTAAAAAGATAATTAAATGATCAGATGACAATTAAGAGATATAATATCTTAGAAAACGTAATGGACGGTCGACAAATAATATATCTCTGGAAGTAGAAAGAAAAAGTATTAGAACATATAGAAATTTATAAAGCTTTCCTGGATTAATTAATATGATAGATTAATTAATATAATCGATTTGTGACTATTGTTAAAGGAATGTTATTTACTGTCAAAGATCTTCATCGTGAAATCTTTCATAGGGTGTGATGGTTTTTTGAAACGTGTCGTAATCCTTTTTTTCCTCTTTGTTGGCCAACAATTTTCTACGTTCCAACGTGAGGTATATCAACAGCGGACAGTACGCCATATTCACGATGCCCACGACTCGCATGACCCATGGGAATCCAATAGCTTTGACCATTTCACCTCCCATAATAGGTCCTTCAAAAAAGTGCAATTTATGCAATATATATCTTTCGTAATATTTTACTTTTTTAAATTGTAAATTATCCTAAATGGAATTAGTACCAAGAGAAAGTCTCACTTTTCTCTGCTTGCTTTTATTCTACAAAATTGTTTCTTTCAATTTTACTCAGACAACAAGTCTTAATTTTTCGGTCGGAACATTTTACCTAAGGAATAAGCCAAACTGACAGCCACTTGTTGGATCGAATAAACGGGTCCATAATTGCCATTTCGGTCTACCAAGCTGGCCAGCAGCGGCACTAGGGCTGCATCCGCGACGCCAATGCCTAGACCCATCCCCAGATGTGGGAATATCAACTGTGACATTGTGTTCGCGGACGGGATGAAAATCGCGCTAATGCCGACCACGAACATAGCCAGAATCGCCACTTTGCTACGCCCGTAATGATACGCTATCATACCAAAGAAGTTGGTCCCGATTAGATAACCTACGCTGTCTGGTATGAATACCGTGCCCAGTTGCCATTTCTGCAAGGGACGAGATTCTATTGGTATTAATTAATAATGATGATTATGAAACAGTCAATTAGTTTTATATGAGAGTTTTAAATGAGTTAGAGCAAACTAAAATACATTATTAAAATTTAATGTGATATCTTTTTATTTTAATAATTAAAATTTAATAATATTTAAAATAAAAGTTTTTCGTCACCTTGGGTTTTATATGAGTCCGAAGCCAAATTGGCAGGCAAGGTTCTAGTATTGCCATCGGCGATGTCGAGCACCAAATTGCACCAGAGATGATGAGAATATGTGGATTAGATAATAAATGCCGCCAAGTAGTTTGCTGCTCACTTGGCTGATACATATAAAATAAAATAATTTATTTAAATAACTTAATTTTGTTAATTTAATAATTGTTAATTTTCTAATAAATATCAAATATTTTTATATAAAATGTGGCAAATTTAATTTGTCATTTTTTAAAATCCTTGGAATAATATAAATGACAGTATTGCTGATGATTAAAACTTATTAAAAAATTGTAAAATTGTGTAAATTACTTCATGAGAGAGATAGTGTCTTTTATATATATATATATATATATATATATATATATATATATATATATATATATATATATT